TTGACTTACGAGAAAAAAGTCAAGTCTGCATTGTATTTCGGGGTTCTTTTGTCTCCATGTGAATCGTCGTTGTTCAGGGTTTTGTATTCTCCAGACATCAATAAGGTTTAAGTCTTCGGAATAGCTATTTATGACTTCCAACGATTTTTTGTGGGTTTTTGCAAGGCCACCTTTTTTATCTTTCTCAACATCCAAAACTAAATTATAATCCCCGCCAATTATTACCTCATCGCACTTAAAATCTGCTAGCCGCTCAAAGACCGAGGTAAAAAAGGTTGGGTCGTCGTTGTTTGGAGCATATATATTTGCCAAGGTTAAGTGTTTCCCATTTGTAATCAAGTCACAGATTATATAGCGTCCCCCATGGTCGCAGTATGTTCGCGAAATTTGAAAGGTGAAAGTGTTGTTAAACAATATGATAACGCCTGCCTTTTTGCTAGAGCAGCAACTGAAAAGGGCCTGATAACCCCATTCAGCTCGCCAGTCATGCATATTATTTTCGGTACAATGAGCTTCTTGAATAAAATATATGGCCATTTGTTTTTTCCGCAGCCAATTAAAGAATTCCCGTCGCTTGCTTCTGTCTCCTAATCCCCTAGCATTAATTGAACCAATTGTAAGTTCCATTTCTTTTGTTGCTGTGAAGAAAGAAGAAACTGATAATTTTCACCCAAAGAAGAATAGCATGAGAGATTATTCTGATTTGTGCAAATGAGATATAGAGTGTCGGTTTCGTACAGAAAGGTCTAAAAAAAAGATATTTCAAAGCACTGAAAGTAAAACAAAACAGAAAAAAATCGACAAAAAACATAAAGACAAAGTTAAAATGTTTTCTTGCTGGGTGGTCGCTTTGCATCTCTAAGGGGTGACTAGCCGCAAGAAAAAAAAAATAGTAAATTTGTCCCCGTAATACAATTATGAAACAGTCTCAAGATTAATGATCAGTTTTTTTCCTACAGGCCACACTCGACCTCTAATAAATAACTTATCTGGTTCCGATAGACTGAAGAATGCAGGAATGTTGTTTCTTCTGGCCTCTTGGAAGGTCTTCATCTGCTCTTTGCGTCTTCTGACAATTTCTGCAGGATAGTCGCGGAACATTTGGAAATCGGTTTCTTTTAATCGGTGCCCGAGTGAAAATATTTTCTGGACATCCTTGTATCTCAGAAAACGAGCCAGTATTGGCCGAGGCTTTCCATTCTTGCTTTTTCCACTTCGATGAACTCTTTGGATTTCCACGCTTCTTGCGTCGTGGAAGCCCAGTTCGTGTTCTAAGAAATCTCTTAGGGGTTTCTTCGACATCTTCGGGTTCATCGGAGGAGCCATCTTTTATGTTCATAAACCTGATGTTTTTTTAATTAAAAAAACGAAAAAAAGGAAAATCTCAAAATTTGGATCGAAACTTAATCGTTAATTTATGATTTTACATGTGAAATTACAAAGTGAAATCGCTATGAACGTTCCGTATGTCTCAGTGCCAAGATGGCGTCAATGTTTTAAAATGTTATGAATAAGGGTGTCAGGGCATTAAAAGACGCTTTAGGGAAAAAGAACGTTAAGAAAGATTCTAACAGGTATTGTAAAGGAAAAATCAGAAAATTGGGAACTTAATCCAAAATTTATGCTCTAAACGGTTCAGTTTGTTCGGAGTTCTCGATCCGACAAACAAGTCAAAATCAAAAGTCATCTATGATGAATGGTAAACGTACTTGCGAAATTAGGGAATAATTTCACTATTGTTTTGTCAAAATTCTAATAATAATAATAATAATTCTGTTTTTAATTTCTGTTTAAGTCTCGTAGAGTCACATTTTTGATAGCGGGGCTTCATATAGCTTATCACATCATATTACGTTGATATAGCAACCGTCTGCCACCATATTTTGGATACACAAATCCTTCTTCTTCCTTTAGCATAAAAAGTGCACAATGGTCAAAAACAGCTGATTAAAACTGTATATTTATTGGTGAATTTAACACTGATAAATTATACAACAGCACGTCACTGAATATAAGGACTTTGATCGGCAGCCAGGACCTAGGCACCCACTTCTCTTTAGTTTTATTCTGTGGAAACCTCTGAAATCAACCTGTACATACGAAAAAAACAATTAAAGGCAAAGTTGTGTAGACAGTAGTTGTTTTTAACTTCCGACCCTGCTCGCCATTAGAGTTCTAATACCTCAGTGGTTAGAGCGCCCGAACTAGAACTCGGAAGAACTCGGAGGGTCGGGAGTTCGATTATCACCTGGAGCTCGGAACATTTTTCTGAGTGGTGTTTGAATTCTTCATCTTCTTTAACAGACATATACCGTCTTGGGTTTGTACGCTCTGGTGGACGGCCGAATTTCGAACAGGTCAAAAAAAGTCTGGTGTACTTGTTTTTGTAATTTCCGCCCTCTCTCTCCATTAGAGTTCTAGTAGCTCAGTGGTTAGAGTGTCCGAAGTACAACTCGAACTCGAAGGGTCGTGAATTAAAATATTTACTTCAATTTTGTTG